GCTTCAGAGTGCGAACATTGAACGCGGCCGCTCTTTCAGTAAAGTACTTTCAAGCGTAAGAGTTTTACTGAACTCTATTTAAGATCATTTTTCCTTCGATAACACCTGGATTTGTATCACGACATGGGGTGCCAAGAACCACTGTACAGAACTGCACCCAACTGAAAATGGCGATATATTACAAAAGGATGAGTTCTAAGTCATTCGTTGCAGCCGCTGACATGAACCCGAGTTAATAATCTTTAACCTCTGTGGTTTACTTGTAGCTGACTTTGATGTACACTACTCATGAGTAGGCAGAATTAACGATGATTTTCGTTCCTGTGTGCCTTCGGAGCCGCAACTATGACCAAATCGTCAAAACGAGTTTCATATTAGGTGTTACTGAGGAAAGTATAAAGTTTGAGCTAACCAGGTAACACAGAGCTGTCAGAACCGCTTTTCACGAACAATGTTTTCATCGCTTTGAGAGGCTAATGCTGAGGAAAAAATTGCCAATATCAGAAAGCCAGAAAACAGGATTTGTTCGGCGTAATTAATCATGAGCTCGATAAAATCCCCAGAATAAAACAGCGTTCAATCAGAGGAAATCTGAGGAGCTATTTTTTCACACCGGTATAACAGAGTCGTCGGTAAATGAAATATGGTTCTCTGAAACAAAATCTCGAAGCTAAGAGAATGTGCTTACAATGCATTTAACTTCTTTCACATACAGGTTTCATTACCGAATTGCCGTGCACATTCTTGACATATGGTTGTATCCTCTGGACTTCGGTAGACTGGCACCATTTCGTGCTCACTTGTCATCACTTATGGTCTACTATTTCGCCGATACACTTGAGTGATTTCGGATCCCAGTAACGCTGTCAAATTTACAACGAACAGTAATCTTTTTATGGAAGTTTGTGCCAAAGGTCTCAAAATGTCTAAAAAGTTTATTTTTGAACAGATTTCATGAAGGACAAAGAGTCAGTGGTGACTGGGTAGGGAAGCATAAAATGCTGAGTGGTCTACCATTAGGTGAGTTAGAAAATGTTTGCATTTAACAATCGGGCTGACCTTAATCCGGAAACTAGAGCAGAAATCAGCCACATTTGTCGTTAATTTGTTCGCTGAAAGTTTCCTGACTTGTTTAGTCTCTTTGACATCCCATTAACTAGGTTGTTTCGTTTTTTAGGTTTCCACCTTAGCATAGTATTTTATTATCTATTTGGAACAGACAGTTTTGACGCCACTAGCCAACAAATGTCATTTGCTATCACGGAAACCTCAGATAAATTCAGCCGAACCTCTCGTTCTTTAGGATTCAATTTAAGTTTAAGTAGGACTTAAGTTTGACAGAAACTAGCGGACCATGCCTACATGATGAGCCACAAGAAGTACAAAATCGGTGGTGGGCTGTCGAAGAGTTTTAAGCAAATTTATGTGTAATGTGTTGCGTCTAGATAATTCAGAGGGAAGTTCGCTGCCGACCAAATTAGAGTTGACAACGTTTGCTTTTCTGACCTCAGTCAATCTTGTGCGAACATGGTTTAGTCTGTGGTTTGGTACGCTGAGTCAGAGAGACTGGCACTGTGAGGTGTCCAATCCAACCCAAGCAAGCTTCAATAGATTTTCGGTATCCCAAGCAAGTCGTCCATAAGTGAAATGGGCAACAACCTGAAGGGTTGGCCTTAATAATGGGTAAAAAAACTCTACTTGTGGTTATTTTGTTACAAGCGGTCCCACAACCAGCGATGTACAACAAAACTTGGTAAACAAGTGGGAAAAGCAGAACTGCGCTCCAGGATTCCACATTCCACTTAAGATGAACTATTCTAAATTGCAATCTGAAAAACAGCTTTCGAAGTCAGCTACACAGTTTTACTCACCAGCAACTTTTTCAACCAGTTTAACGCAAAAATCCTCGATTACTCGCCTTCCTGTACATAGTTTCCAATGCATCAATCTAACGTCGATCGGAGAACCACATCCTGACTGTCCACTGGTGCAGCTGTAGCAAAACAGAAGACCCTGAACTGTACCTGTAAAACAAAACACAAATGGATATAACACTTTTATCAGTACAAGGGATACGTGAATCTAAAAGTGAAACATTCGTACTACTTAAACACCAAGACTGACAGCTCCACAGTGCATACCACCGGCAAACAGCTACAGATGTGAAAGAATAAATTGGCTCTGTGATTTTTCACTTACACACATAGATAAGCCGAACTGCTTCCCATTTGTTGGCTACTAAATTTTTCTAGCCAATTTATCGTTTCCGGTCAAGGGTCTGGATTTCTGACACTTGAGCGCCTCAGCCTACCGTAGATTTTGCAGCCTGCCTGCAGCTTGAAACAACAGAAATTACAACATTCTCTGTCTTCATTTTTATTCTGATCTTACGTACTTTACTACCACAATTCACAAGGATAGGACCCCGAATCTGCAGACCAACTAGGCTACCTAGACCAACAGTGAACATTTAAGGCTCAGAAACTTAATCCCAGAGAAATTTCATCCCAAAATTCCAAACAAAATCATATTTTTCCAGACAAAAGTTACGATTTTCACCCATCCAGAGAGAAATGGGACCTGTTTGGTTCAGTGGTTTGTTAATTCAGACTTACGCAGTCTGTTTGGGGTGTAAAAATGTTCAATTTCGTCGCTTTACTAACGAAGTTTAAGCAAAATATAGTACCAGTGAAACACCAGGAATCCAGACAGAGTAGTCGGCTGCATTGCACCAATCTAGAAGACCTTCCTGTGATGTAAATCTGCTTTAACATGCAACAATCACTTTTAGACTCTGGTCATTCCTCGTCAACTAAGTGCCAAAACTCCCAAGAAATCCCGCAATTTTTTGCGGACCGATACAGTGGAAAGTTTCTGCTTTCTTCTCTTGCTTCATTTATTGAAGTGGCTGGTCCTTTCGAACTAGCATTGTACCTTCTTCTGATTACTTCCCATTGGTGTTGAGTAGAAATCTGAAACCATGTTGATTTCAATCAGTGGCAAACAGATGTGCAAATGTTCAGTATGTAAGTAATGCTGCCTGTCTGGAATTAGAGATCCTGTAAATTGAGAAAATTTGCATACCAACGATTTAAAATTGAAAACTAAAAAGTCAGGTTGACAACCCGTAACAAGAGTGGTGAAAACTAAGCAGAAAAACCGCAACTATGTTGGGATTGGTTTTATTTTGACTTTTAAATCTATTGTCGTCCATAATTTTGCTAATTTAGCCAAATCCACCAACCTGCACGTTGATGTGGCCTAATAAAGGGACCTTTTAAGGCATTAAGAGCTGCGTGTGCGAAAGTCCACTAAAATCAACAAATATTTCTGTCTGTTGAGAAATAAGTCAAATATGTGCTTTATCGGATCGTTACCCGTAAGGTTGCAAAAAACTGTTCAGTAGGCCACAACCCACTTTGGCCTTCTCGGAGCTCATCATGTGAGTACAGTCCCCAAGTGTCCAAAAATTTTATGATCTATTTGGACCAAAATGCATGGAATTTGACAAATATACTTATCTAGATACCAAACTGATCTTCTTGGGTTGCCGACCTGAAACCAAGCTGAATCACTCGATAATGGTATTCTCCAGCTGGAAGTACTGCACACAGGCCACTTCAAGTTGCAGCATATTTTCCTGACGGAACGCAAGTTGATAAGCTTTAGGACGAATAACACCGATCGCGGGCTATTAAAACGCTCTGAATGCTTAGTCAGAACAGTTAAACACCACTTGACAAAGCACTTCGACACTTGTTCTACTCAATTTGTTGACGTTGGAACGTACAAGCTAGAAGGCAATGTAGCCTTTGAATTGGTGTCATAGCTTCACATTTCAAGGCTCGATTAGGCGGTGAAACCTACCTAAGACTTCATTCGTGCCACAAAACGACCTCAGAAATCATTTTATTCTGCGCTAACCAGACTAGAAACATTTATATGCAAACCAGAACGCACTCGGAGAAAATGGGAGCAGCCAAGATTATATATTTAAATAGATATGGAGTTTTAGCTGGAATAAATATCTTAATAATGTGGAGTTAAATCTTTCTGTCGCCATAATATGGCCACCAACTCCGAGATTACAATACTACAATGCTTACCAACAACATGGGATTCGAACTGAAGTGCTAATACATATTACTATATGTTTTGGTCGCAGCTCCATATTAAGTCAAGTAATCTGGCTGTAAAACGCGGATAAGTATACGGGAATCGCGGTGTTTTCCTGCTTTAAAGGTGCCCTTAGCCTAATGGATGGGCTCTCCTTTCCACGTAGGCTTTGTCAACATATAGCTATCCCACAATTTTCTACTGTTTTTCTTGCCCTTAATTCCTAATTTCTCATAATCTTACCATTGACAATTTAGGGTTAAAAAATTCCCCTAAAACAAACAGGGGAGTAGATTTGTGCTTTCAGCCAATGCTTCTGTTATTTGATCTCCGTGTGTCAATAGGTTGTACACGAAGCAAAATATAAACAGTGATCTCTTCATTGAACAAGCCTCGCCTAACACCAAAACGAAAATTGCAGCCTGTCACTTAGCATACCTGTATTTTTAAGTTTATAGTACTATGCTTATATTTGATTGTCAGTTTATGCACAGCTGCGGCAGCATAGAGCTTAATTTTACCTCAAAGACATTGTCAGTAGGCAGAAATCTTGAATGCTGTTGTGGGCTCTCGAGATATTTGGCGCCGAAAACGAACTTTCTTAGGTCACAGTGACACATTTATGACTCGCTGTGCAATTGATTGTGGCCAGTGCTCTCAAGGCGTTGTAGTAAATGAGAAAAAATTCTTAACACGTGGTTGGCGACAAAATGTCCGCAACAAAATTACCGATTTGAGCAACTGAAACTTCAACCGCGCTATCCGGGTTGTCAAACTTCTCTTCCGCGTCAAATCTAGCCAACCTTCTTGCGCACTGTAAACAGTGTCTTTTGACGTCTCCCCTAGTTCATCACCTGTCAGCTAAGCCATACTCCGCTGTAATCCCCTGTAATCGGTTCATTCATCAGGTTTAATCTGATGGGAGATGCGAACGGTGGTTCTTTGACTTGCACTTGTCTGTTGATAAGGGTGACGTGATCAAAACGTTTTGTCAGTGAATTCAACAAGTAGCCAACTTAGAAGAGATTGGAACAACTCACGAGACAATCCCTTGTGTAATTCAGCATGTAACATTGTTGTGAATGTAAGCATACAAAGCCTGGACTATCTTTAAGTAATAATGATGGCTCATGTTAATGTAAATCTGAAAACGTTTATGGAGTATTTTCGTAACCTGTCTGCAGAAAACGGATGTGAGTACTTGCAGGTATGGTTGCTGTCCACATTGTCTCACTCAGCATCCTAGTCCACGGAAAACAATGAACCAAAAGGATGAAGGTTAAGCCCAGTCAACGTTTTGCAATTTTTGTCCATGATGACAAGATTTAACACGACTAAGAGGCAAGACGCACGCATGTAGAAGAATACAAACTTGGAAAACAGATATCTGGTCTCTGGGATTTGCCGTTCACCCTAGACAACCGGAATAAGAGCAGAAACATTCAGACTTGTAGATTAAAACTGTCGCAGTATTGGTTTGGATAGAGTGCCCAAACAATTACCGTGGGCAGCGGTTCAGACATCCTGTGTTGACATAGTGAGTACATTGGATGTAATAATGTTCTGTGGACAAAATCTACAGGGGGAGTAAAGACGTGTTTTGTATTTAATGTGGTTAATTCGGTGACCAATTACAAGGCNCCAAACAATTACCGTGGGCCGCGGTTCAGACATCCTGTGTTGACATAGTGAGTACATTGGATGTAATAATGTTCTGTGGACAAAATCTACAGGGGGAGTAAAGACGTGTTTTGTATTTAATGTGGTTAATTCGGTGACCAATTACAAGGCTGTATCCATAACAATTCACGTCGGCACGGCTGTAGAAGAATTTTCACTTTTGATCAAGATTTTAAAGTGAGCGAAGAGTAAAAACGAGATTATTTTGCATAACGTGCACATCATTCGTTGTAGGGTAGGTTACCGCCGTAGGTAACTTGGTGACCACTCTTCTTTCTTTCTCCACTAGCCTTCAGTCTTACTTAAAATGTGTCGATTTCTAACTTGGATAGCGTATCCAGCTTACGGACTCAAGTAGGCATCCCCAACTGGTTTTGGCACCATCCGCCCCTTCTCTCAAGTGAAAATTCCAAAGAAACAATCACAGATTAGTTAATGGCCACTTTGTTGGCATTCTAAGGCTTTCAAGATAACGGCATGTCCATAACGTTACAAAAGCGAGTGCTGCGGCAGAAGCCAGCAAAATCACGGCTGGGTGTTACTGGCGTTTTTATAACAACAAGAGAGTAGCCCAAAGCTAGGTCACCTTTACTGTCTGCGTTAGTTCTATACGCAGCCATTAGACGAACTTTACTTGCTGTTTTCCTGGGTTCATTTGGGGCCAAAAGTTACGGATATTGACAAAGCACCAAATTCACCTACGCACCCTAAGTGCCAGTGTTCGCAGTTAAAGAAGAGAGTACCTCTTTTCGGTGACACCTGGAGTGGTTCAGATAACAAAAAAATGATACTGAAAGACTAAGTATCATTATACCCAAGAATGAAGGACTACAAAATGTACATGGTGACAGGAGAAATTTGACTGCTGTAAAAGTTTTGGTATAATTTACATTTTTAAGCGAAAACTATCACTTTTCCTTCTGACACTCGTCAGACCGATACCTGAACAAAAAACAATCTACTTGCCCCTCGCAAAGGCAAAGATAGTTTCATGTTCATCCACAATGTCTGCTCCGTATGGCTTGTAATTTTTCCAACCAGGACAGCACAACAAATAACACATAAAATTTGTTTAAAATGAAAAGTGCTTTGTATCGAAGCATTATCCTAAGCATCAAAGATATGAACTTGTAGACTAATCTCACTCCCAGTAGCTGAGTAGTGCCATTTTAACAAGCGCTCAGCCATCGTTCTAAAATTGTGTTTTTTTAGCTGAGAAGGTGGTCAT